TGATTATTGTATTCTTTTGAGTCAATATATCATGGTGCATTTAGCTGTTTATTTAATTTTATATGTTACAATATTGAGTAATTTATACACTGCTCAGTTTCAAGGTATACAGTAGTAGCCAAAATTGTGGAAACCTTTTGGGGAAAGTGCACATTAGAGGTTTGATGGCTAATAACAACACTTTTTTTGAGTAGTACCATAAAATTATATATCAATGGAAAGATAATTTAATCAAGAATATAATGTAACAAAGTTTGTTCAGTTATCTGTATTCTATTAAAGTTATAGCCAAATAACCAGAAAAAAGAAGCACAACTTGCTTAGGCTGATATCAGGTAGCTTTCCTTCATCTGATTTTAGCCAATGAGCATGAGTGTTTAGAGAGCCAGTCAGGTGTATCTTATTTTGGCAATGAGCCAATCAGATCACAGTAGGATTCAGTTATTGATGTCATGTATTGAAGCTGAGAGGAAGACATTTGTCAGTAAGTTATGTGATCGCTATCAAGTTGGTTGGGGTTTTTTGGTGTTTTTTCATTTAGTGAGCTTGTAAATTGTAATAAAATTAAAGTAATGGTGCAAAGAATTGACTGATTGCCCAGAAAGTGATGTAAAATAGTATTATTAAGTGAACAAGGCTACAGTTATAAAGAAATTAGAAGAAAAATTGGTGGAAACGTAACCAAATATGGCATTTCTAAGTTTTTGAAGAGGTAGGTATAAGGAGAGTCAGTCACTACAAAACCACACTGGTAAAGGCAGGAAAAGGTGCACAACAGCAAATGATGATAGAAGAATTAAGAGATTGTGTCTATGTGACAGAAGAAAATCATCTGGGTGTATACAAGATTAAATGGCACAATGCAATGTGAAGTTGAGTGCAAGGACTGTTCAGCACAAACTGCAGGAATTTGGCCTAAAATCTAGAATTGCACAAAAATTCCACTTTTATCTCTCAAACAAAGGTTGAAAAGACTAAACTGGGCTAAAACCCATGTTACCTGGACAGAGGAACAATGGGACAGTATTATTTGGAGTGATGAGACCAAGATCTCCCTGTTTGGTAGTCATGGCATAAAATACATAAGGAGAAGAATCAGAGAAGATTTGCATCCTGATTGCATTACATGTACCGTGATACACCCAGTCAGTATTATGATCTGGGGTTGTATGACATTAAAAGGTGTGGGCAGAATTTGTGTGATTAATGGGAATATAAATGGCCAAAAATACATTAATGAAATACTTGAGCCCAAACTGAAGCCTTCCTCACATGATCTTTTCCAAGACAATGAAGCATTTATATTTCAACAGGATTCAGCTCCATGTCATGTTGCTTCTGTGTGCAAAAAGTGGTTTCAAGATAATCATATTCCACTGCTGGAATGGCCTGGGAATAGCCCAGACCTTAACTCAATTGAAAATCTATGGAGCCGACTAAAGAAACTTGTTAGTCAGAAGCGACCCAGCAATAAAACCCAGTTAATAGAAGCAATCATTTAATCTTGGTTTCACATTCTAACAGCTGCAGAACTAAAGGACTTTGTTCACTCAATGGGAAGACATTGTAAGGCCGTAATTCATGCTAAAGTTACCCAACTAAGTATTAACTGACATGGTGATAATTTTTGTATATCTCATTTTTTCTACGTGTTTCACTTTTGTTCTTTATAACTGCTATTCTAATAGCAAATCCTTCATAAAAGCTATTGCATTACATTCTTGATGTAACTCCTGCTAGGAAAGCAGTGCCCCATCCTGATGAGCAAGTGCCAAGCTTTGATGTCACCTCTGTCCGGAAAACACTGCAGACAGTTAACATTCAGAAAGCAGCAGGCCCAGATAACATCCCTGGACATGTCCTTCTGCTCTGGACATCACACCACATTCCTACATATACGTAGCAATAAATATTAAATATTGTCCATCTTGAATATATAACAGAAGGAGGAAGCTTGAGAGTTCGCAAGGTTAATGCTGTATGGAATGAAACTCTGGCTGAATCTGGATGTTCTGCTTCAGATACCACGAAGCTTCCTCCCAGAAGGTAACAAGGAAAACAGGTCGTGAAGAGGATGTGTAGTGTCCCAGATAATCTTACGGACCCTGCTCAAGCAGTGCTTCTGTGCTATGTCCTGGATGGGAGGGAGGTGTTTGCACATGCGCAAAGGGGCAACAGGGCTTGCGAGTGGGAGATTGTCACCGGAAGCACGCCCAACAGGCAACTTGGTGATAGATGTATGGTTGCGGTGGATTATGAGAGGAATGGGGAGCAACGAAGGTGAACGATTGGATGGTAACCCCAGAGGAGGAACAGCGTTGGCGAGCGGAGGAGTAGCTTTGGGAGCGCATCCGATAGGCAACTCCTTGGTGGATGCTCAGGCTCAATCGATAACAAGAAGGGAGGGGAGCGACAGGCGAGAACAACTGGACAATCAATCCCCGGGCGTCTGCACATGCACAAGGGTAGCAATAGGACTGGTGAGCAGGAGAATGGCGCCGGAGTCACGCACCATCAACAATTCCATGACAGAGGCACAGGCGCGCCTGGTGACAAGTGTGGGGGGTAAGGATGGGCAAGAGCAACCTGACAGCCAACACTTGGATGCTTGTATGCACACCAGGGGAATAACAACAACCAGGGGTGGGAGAGCAGCCTCGGAAACTGCCAACACATTGACAAGTGCGGACCCTTTAATAACAACACGATCGGTGATAATGAGTGGACCAATGAGCCGATCGAGGAGCAGGCCGCAGAGGCAGCCAGTGATATAAATGAACTCCCAAATCCTTGTTTTTATACTCTGACGATGTCAGCAGTTTGGCTGACGAAAGCTAAGTATTCTTGTATATTAAACAATTTTGTTTATAACCTTATCCTGGTGTTCGAATTCATATGTTATATATTTAAAGAATGGGACAAGAATATATTTTGATCTTTATGATGTTCTATCTTGACCAGTCCTTCATTTAAAGATCCCCACTGTAACAAAATAAAAGAGTTGGAAGGAACCTTGGAGACCTTCGAGTCATACTACAGAGAAATTTGCCTGACATCAATACCTGGGAAGATACTGGAAAATAATAATCAAAAAACAGATCTGTGAACATCTAGAAACAAATAAAGTTATAACTAATAGCCAGCACAGGTTTGTTAAAAACAGATCATGCCAAACCAATCTTATTTCATTCTTTGACAAAGTGACTAAATTAGTAGAACAGTGAAAAATGCTGTGGACGTAGTATATTTAGACTTCAGCAAGGCATTTGACAAAGTAGACCACAACCTACTTCTTGGTAAACTAGAAAAATATGGGATTGACAGCATCACCACCAGATGGATTGTAACTGGCTGACAAACTGTACTCAATGAGTAGTCCTTAATGGCACTACATCTACATGGAGGGAAATAAGCAGTGGGGTACCACAAGGTTCTGTCTTAGGCCCAGTACTCTTCAATATCTTCATAAATGACTTAGATGAGGGAATAGAATGGGATCTCATCAAATTTGCAGATGGCACTAAGCTGGCAGGAATAGTCAACACCCCAGAAAACAAGTTCAGAATCCAAAAAGATCTTGACAGACTTGAACAATGGGTCCTATCTAACAAAGTGATATTTAATGTGGAGAAAAGCGAGGTTTTACACCTGACTTTTTCCTGGGCAGGAAAAGTCAAAGATACAAGTACAGATTAGGTGAAACCTGGCTCAAAAACAGTAATTGTGAGAGGGACTTTGGAGTCCTAATGGACAATCACTTAAACATGAGTTAGCAGTGTGTGGAAGCAGCCAAAAAAGCTAATACAATCTTTGGTTGTATAAACAGAGGCCAGTCTACAGAAAACAAGGACTAGGTGGGGACAGGATAGCAGTATTCCAGCATTTGAGAGGTTGCCACACGGAGGAGGGGTCAATTTTTTTTCCAAAGCCCCAGAAGGCAAGACAAGAAACAATGGATAGTAACTAATCAAGGAGAGAAGCAACCTGGAATTAAGGAGCAAGTTCCTAATAGTGAGGACAATTAATCAGTGGAACAGCTTGCCTTCAGTTGTTGTGCTTCATCACTCATAGTTTTTAAGAAAAGGCTGGACAACCACTTGTCTGAAATGATATAGGGACTCTTGCTTGAGCAGGAGGCTGGACTAGAAGATCTCCAAGGTCCCTTCCAGCTCTATTCTGATTGATTGAACTCCTCTCAGCAGGAACCCCATGCCCTATGCCATTTCAGACATATACACATACACACACATACTCATTCTCTTATGTGCTTATTGAGAAACAAATTGTCCATATCCATACCTTTAAAATATCTGAGTCAAACAAAGATTGATATTGATATAATATTTTGTCACCAAACTTCATTGACAGCTTCTGAATAAAAATATATTATCTGAATTGAATAAATAAATATAATTGAAAGAAATATTTTTTATTTTTCATAAATTAAATGATCTTGCACAATCTGGCAATTTATATTGTTTACTATCTAAATACAATTTTAAAACATGAAGGCACAAAACAGTTTAAGAAGAGGTTTGTTGATGTTTTTGAATATACAATAAAGATAAGCTTCCTACTCAGTGTTTATTAATACTGGAGCACATACCATAAGGACACAAGATATGCATTCCGAAACCTGCTACCCCAACTCAGATGATACTTTGTGGTAAGCATGGCACTTTCACTAGAAATCTAAGTAGGAAAAATCATAGGCATAAATGACTGTATATTAGTGAGGATCCCTTTTGAGTGAAATCATATGCAGAGCTCTATATTTCAAACATAGAGAAAAATATTAAGCATCTATAAGTTTTTTCCCAGTATTTACTTAGTTTCAGAATTATTAAATCCACATATAGAGAAATAAATACAGTCATTATACATGGACAACAGAATAGAATAGAATTTAGAGATACAAATGTATAAAATAAAAAACTGTTCTATTTATGTAGAATGTGTTGGCTTCTACTAGGTGGGTTTGTTAACATTTCTTTGTTTTCTCAGTATTGAAGCCTACTGAGCAGCCGGATTCTTCCTGTAAGTGTTTTCAATCCTTCCTTAAAATCCTTGTTTCTCAGTGAATATATGACTGGGTTACCAAGAGGAGTTACCACTGAATAAAGGAGAGCAACAATCTTATCTTGTTCTGGAGAGTAGGCTGAAGATGGCCTGATATAAGTATAGATTACAGAGGAGTAAAAAATACTGACTATAATAAAATGTGAGGAACAAGTGGAGAATGCTTTCTTCTTCCCTTCAGTGGAACGGATTCTGCAGATTGTTCTTATTATAAAAAAATAGGATGTTAAAGTGAACCCACAACAACCAACTCCTAATATCCAATCTGAAGCAGATAAGACAAAGACATTTAGAGTTGGATCTGAGCATGAGAGATGCAATAAAGGGGGAAGGTCACAAAAGAAATGATTGATAACATTGGAGTTACAAAATGACAGCTGATTCAACAATCCAGAATGAGTTGAAGTATTAACTAGACCTACCACCCACACTCCAATAGCTATGGAAGCACACACTTCCTTCCTCATGATCATGGGATACTGCAAAGGGTGACAGATAGCAGCATAGCGATCAAAAGCCATAAAGGAGAGGTGCAGTAGTTCTGTCCCTACAGCCCATATAAACATGTAGGCCTGAGTAAGGCAACCATGAAATGAGATGGTCTTCCTTCCAGTCAAGAGACTCTGGAGCAATTTAGGTATTGTAATTGAAATAGAGAATACATTCACTAAGGACAAATTGACAATGAAGAAATACATGGGTGTGTGGAGTTTCCTGAAAGTCCATATAGTGAGGATGAGGATGAAGTTGGCACTTAGGGCTGTAACATAGATGGTTATGAATATGCAAAAGAGAATTATCTGAATGTATGTTGTTGCTGATAGACCAACCAGGATGAACTCTATTATGGCTGTCCTGTTCTTTATTTCAATACTGTTGTTGCTGGTATTCTAGAGAAGTAAATAGTTTTACATTAAATATTAGTATATTTGCATAAAATTGTGATTTTTGTACATGTGACAACTTTTCTTAATTCAGCAAGAAAATTAACATCTAATGACATTATATGTTTATAATTCACAAACAATATGGATACAATAAAATGTGGAAAAATTGTCATTCTCTTTAATATAGAGAAACCAGATTTTCCTGATTATCATTAGATCCATCTTTCCTTCAGGAAATGCTAAGCCATAATAAAATGAACTCAAATTCAATTTTTGGGGAAGAACTAAAGTGTGAAGGATTATCTTGGATTGTTCAGGTCAATCAATGTACTGTCTCTGTGTTATGTAATCCAGCTACTCTATAGTATACACACACACACACACACACCATAATGAGATAAAGGAATAAGAATATGTTATGTTATATGAAGAACTAGACTGTTCTGAATTACCCCAGAATTCAACTCTTAAGAAGGTAAAGAGAGTGCCAATGTGATTAGTTGTTTAGAAATCTTTTCAGAAAACCTGCCTCTTCAGAAGAAATGACAGAAGGTTGTTTGAAAGTACATAATTATTGCTTACGTACCATTCTAACAAAAAAGCAGAAAGAGGAGGAGTGGGAAAAAGTTCCTCTGTCAGTTGTGAAATGTGAGTTGAATCATCCCTAAAGCAATTTCATCTGACTTCTACTTGCCCAGGTCACATGATAAGAATGGGGGAAAAAACTTTGTTTCAGCTATAATTCTATTTTTTATTTTATTTTAAAATTGTAGAATAGATAACTGAGTAGATCTCTTTCACTGAGTTTTATTTTCACTTGGAGAAATTTTCCTTGTCAGGAAAGATTATTTGGTTCTAATCAAAAGTTATTTCAATTGATGATAGTAATTCTTCCTCCCCTTCTCCTAACCACATACATGTGATAGTTAGTTATAAATAGACTCATATACTTTATTGCAGAATTACTAGTCATTTCAGATGGAAATAATGTTTCAGTTTCTACTGTTGCTTTGAATTTGTTGAAAAGTAAAGTGCCACCTTATTTCCCAAACACCAAGTACTATATATTTCATCCCTAAACTGCCTATATTCTCTTCTATTGATACAGTACTTATTGCAATGGCCTGGGAACACATTTTTCATGGTAAAAGTAGGCAACTACAATATGTGGAACTTTGCCTAGTTACAAATTAATGATTCCCAACATATGATCCTAATTGCAAATAGTATAATTTCTGTAGGCTATCTGTAGTTCTTAATCTATATTCAAAGGAAATGGTTTGGTCTACAAACATTTAATAGAAGCTTTCACCTTATTTGATGAAATTGGAGTAAATATATGGAGGAAATAGGTAGGATAAAGGAAAATGGTAATACTTGCCAGCATTGCTATGGTTGATGACTTTTTCTAGAAATTTCCTACTTTTTGAATTTTAGAATTATTTTCAACTTTGGCATTTGCAAAGGACAGGTCCTATTCCTGTCAAGGAGCATAATTTCTGCTGACAACTGAGTTGGTTCAGTTAGGAATGTACTTTATGAACCAAAATAATGACTAGTCAGGGGACTTTTTTACATAAAGTGATGGTGCCATTGGGAAACTGACCTTTGGGACATCATCATAATTAAACTAACTATGCAATAAATTAGTTTTTAGAATAAATGTCCTTTGCTTATTTTGTTGGTTATAGTATGAATACCGTATATCTAACCTCTACACCAATTTTATCATATTTAGAATATAAATAACAAAAACAACAATAAATTGAATTTGTAGGCCATCTAATTCTCAATGGCTCTGGGTAGCTCATAAAAATAAAATAAATAACATAAAATCAATAATGTTTTTTTTTTTAAAAAAATGGCAAGTATGATGAAGCAAGGAGCTTCCCTATTCCTCCCCAAAGGCTTGGGTAAAACCCAGGCTTCAAACTTCTTCTAAACAAGAGCAGAATAGAGGCCATCTAGATCTTGGCATAACATTGTTTCAGAGAGTAGGTGCTACTGTAGAGATCTTACAGAGTACAATGAAAGAGGACATTGTTTAACATAAGGAACCATTTGACCAAACTTTCAGGTCGTCCAGGGAGATGTTATGGAAGGTTGTCTCTCATGTGAACATGACCATGCTATAAGGGCTTTAAATGTAACAACCAGCACCTTGAATCACACCCAGAAGCAATTGACAACCAGTGCAGCTTTTGAAGTAAAGGTGTTAATTGGGCATACCAAGATATGCCCATTACTGCCCACACCATCACATTCTGGACTAGCTGATGGTTCTGGGTGTTCTCCTATGGCAGCCCCATGTAGATAACAATGCAGTAATCAAGCTGTATGGTATCTAGGGAATGAGTGATTGTCTGAATAGCCCCACATTCTAAGAGAGACCACAACTGATGCACCAAATAGAATTATGTCCAAGGCCTTCCTAGCAACAGTTGACATCTATTCTTCATGCAGGAGCTATGAATCCAGGAAGATCTCCAGATTGTGTACTAACCAAAGTCAAAGATGGAATATTCTTAGATCTGGGTGGTTTAAACATCCATAGTTATTTGGCATGATTGAGTCCATGACATACAAACCCACAAGTCTTCTAGGCACTGAGAAAGAACCTTGACAGCCTCATTTGGCTGGCCTTGGGTCAAAAAGATAACCATCCTTTTGTATATCAATTTCAAATTCTGGAAATTTCCATAGAGATTCCTGCATATAACCGTGTCCTAGAACAGGGGTAGGGAACCTTGGCTCTTTTATGACTTCTGGACTTCAATACCCAGAATTTCTGAACCAGCCATGCTGACTCGGGAATTCTGGGAGTTGGAGTCCACAATATTGGGAATGAAAGAAGGAATGATTTTGGTAATCCCAAAGTTAATTACAGAATTAACCACTCATATAATTGATGCTTCTCTAGCTATACCAGCACATGCCTCTTTCTTCAACATTGAGTTGTACCTCGAAGGACCATCAAAAGTAACATGGATCTCAAAAATGACTTATATCAGAAGTTCTGTCTGTAATCAAATTAAAAAAAAATCCTTGGGTTTCACATATGTTAAATGACATTGTCTTTTTCTGTGACAATTATAACAGAGTTAAGTTGGAGGGGATTTTGGAATTATTCTATTAGAACCCCACTGCCCAAAAGGAGTCCTCCAACCATCACAGAAAAATGGCTATCCAATTTTTGTTTGAAAACCTTCACTAATGGACCATCCATTATTGCACAAGGCAGAACGTTCCATTACTTAAAAGGTCTCATGATCAGGATTTTTTTCTTTATATGATATTTCTCTGTAAAACTACTTCTTGTCCTGTTCTTGGGGTTTATGGCGAATAAATTCACATATACTTCCATGTGACAGCCTTCAGGTATTAGAATACTGTTAGCATGTCTCTCCTTAGCTTTCTCTTCTTTACACTAAACACATCCATTCTTTTAACCATTACTTAAAAATTTTCTCTCAAAGCTGTTACCATCTTTGTTGTTTTTCTCTGCGCTCTTTTCAGTTCATCAGTAGTTTACTTTTATTGTAGCAACCAGAACTAGTCACAGAATTCCAAGTGAGATCTCACCAATGCAGTGTAGAGCAGAACAATAATTTCCTGTGACTTTGACATTATATTTTTTGAATTATCCTAAGATTTTGTTAGCTTTTTCAGCAACTACAGCATACTACTTAATGCTTATGCTTAATCAGTGATCTACCAATATATCCAAATCCTTCTTGCAGATACTGCTGAGTGGGACCACCTACCTTGCGCTTGTATACATGAAACATTTTGGTTTGAAAATTCTGATTGTGTCTTGAAAATGACATAAACTAATATGAAAATGCAAATCACTGGATAAACTCCTTATGCATAAATGTATAGCCTGGATATAGATTTATCATAATAAAGATAGGCAACCGTAATTCAAGGTATTTTTATTAGTTATATGGTGAATGTTTCCCAGCACACTCTTTACAATAAGAATTTTTCAAGTTGGCCAATATTAGTTCCAAAACTATATGCCAATGAAATATTTATTTCCACAATCAGTCATTATAGGATTTCAAACTATTTGTTGCTATTGATAAAGATCTCAAAGATGTAGCTGGGATGAGGAAAAATGATTCTATGAAATACTTGGCCTGCATTGTTATTGCTGCTGTATTTTCTTATAATTTCTCTTTCTTGAAATTTAGAATGATTTTCAGCTTATGTATTTGACAAGGAATTGATCTTATTCATTGTTACCAGAAAAAAACTGGCAACAAACAAGTTGGTTTGGTTCTGTTTTAGACATGCTTTGTGGACCAAGCTGTTGACTAGCACATTGGCTTTCCATAAAGTGAAGATTCCATTGGATTATTGATTCCTGGATTATCTTCATAATTACTCCAATCATAATAATTATTGTTCATTTTATGTATTTATGTGAGGTTCAAGTCTAATAAAATTTTAATTCAAATAATAATAATAATAATAATAATAATAATAATAATAATAATAATAATAATAATAATAATAATAATAATAATAAAGTTGGAAGGGACCTTGGAGGTCATCGAGTCCAACCCCTTGCTCAGGCAGGAACCCTACACCATTTCAGACAAATGGCTGTCCAGTCTCTTCTTAAAAACTTTCAGTGTTGGAGCATTCACCGCTTCTGGAGGCAGGTTGTTCCATTGGTTAATTGTTCTAACTGTCAGGAAGTTTCTCCTTAGTTCTAAGTTGCTTCTCTCCTTGATCAGTTTCCATCCGTTGCTTCTTGTCCTGCCTTCAGGTGCCTTGGAAAATAGCTTGACTCCCTCTTCTTTGTGGCAGCCCCTGACATATTGGAATACTGCTATCATGTCCCCCCTCGTCCTTCTCTTCATTAAACTAGACATGCCCAATTCCAGCAGCCTTTCCTTATAGTAGAAATTTAGAAACCAATAGAATACAAGTTCTATTGATGTCTAGAAAATAACTCTTCATATGAATAAATATGAATCCAGTCCCTTGTAATTTTGCTTGTACTGACTGTTTGGAACTTTGCAACTTTCTGAACAGAAGAGAATTCTAAGAACAGTGCTATTGAGCTTAGTTTTGCTAGAATGGGGTAATATAATAAACCAGCTGTTTGCAATATATGCTTTTTTAACAAATGTACTTTTAGTGGAAATGAGTTATTCTTAAGGAAAACAAAAACCCTAGATAGACAGGAATAATATAATTCTTCATTTAGTCCTGAAGCTAACTAATAATATTTTACTTCATTTCTTTTTCCTCTAAAAGGGATTCAAGCAATAATTTTAGGCTATCATTTTGCATATCAATTTCCTATTCTGGAAATTTCTATAGAAATTCTTGAGAATATCCATGTCCTAGTGTAAGGACAATGGACAAAAAATATTTTTCTTCCTAGACACTTTGGGGTATAGCTTATGGATTCATGAAAATAACTTGCAATTTAACCTATCATATACTGTTTTATAAAAATCTTCTGTTTTTATACAATGCAGACCCTCAAGTACCTGTTGGTAATCTGCACACATTAAAAAGGAAACACATATTAAACATGGAATTTGTTATAATACCTGGATGCTGTGCAACTAGATTTGGGGGAAAAGATTTAAAGTTAACCCTGACAAGGCTGAGGGGCAGCATATATTTGGGTTACCTAGCTTTACATATCTTGATTTTTTTGTCTTGTAAGGGCTGACACTTCCCCAAATGGTACACAACTTGGGGGCATCTTGGACTGCCAGTTCTGCTCAAAGACCAGATAGTAGCTGTGTCCAAGTGGACCTTTGCACAGATACTTCTTGTTCCATTTCCTGGACCAGGATGCCCTTCAGATAGTTACACATGTTCTAATCATCTCATGAATGGATTACTCAAGGTAAATATACATGGGGCTATTCTTGAAGACCACTAAAAAGCTACTGCTAATCCAGAATTTAGAGTTACAGGCAGTATCGGGCATGTCTCATGATGTCCATGTGACTCCACTTCTCTTTATGCTGCAATGGTTACCAATTGGTCTTTGGGTGCAATTCAAGGTGCTGTTAATCAGAGACCAGGTGTGGCTCAGCATGAACAAAAAGGCAGAATTCAGATTTTCTTTCTAAGTCACACATTTATTCAATTCTGGACAAAGATGGGTTCTCTCATAAGACTGGAAGAATCCCAAATGCAATTGTAAGCAAGCATGTATAGGTTTCTTTGTTTTACTTAGTTACATAATAGAAACACTTGCTTACAAGAGAAAAAGTACAAAAGTTACAAAAATGCTTATGCATGCATCCTGTAGTTATGATCCTGTAGTTCATCTGTAAGCTTGTCATTTCTTTATCAAGGTTTCCATAACTTGAAGCCTGAATTTTATTTCTGTCATTTCAATACAAGAATCCTTAAACCAATTATCAGAATCCTAATCAACAGTGCTGTTTAACACCTAGGTCCTTCATAGCATAGACACTGGTTATATAACAGAACATCTTTCTGTAGTTGTTTCTGCTCTGGGTCCCGTTGCTTAAGCATTAACATCATGTAGGATCCAGAAAGCATGCCTTCTCCCTTAAGACAGCTGACTTTAGGAATGATTTATACCCAGAGATCAAGATGGCTTCTATACTGATCATATTCAAAAAAACTATTAAATACTCTCCCAGGCTCTGGGGTAAAGTGAAGGTTGAGCCACTGTTGGATGAATTTATTTGATTGTATGTTGTTTCTGATGCCGTTCATAATTTTTCCTTGTGTTTTGTACCAATTTGCCTGTTAAATTTTGCAAACTGAAGTATGTTGCTGTCTTAATTTTACTGGTTGCTGGAGAAACATAAAACTTTATTTAAAGTTCCAAAATTTTATTTGTGTATATATGTATTTGTGTTATCAATTAAACTTTGCAAACAGACATATGTATGTGTGCATACGCATATGTGTGCATGTATGTTTTCTGGTTAAAATTTGCCAAGAAACACATCTTTAACTTTTAGAAAAAGTAAAGCTAGGATTTAAAATATTGCTGTTTTTCTTTCATTTAAAAAAACTGATAAAAAATCTCCACAAAAATAAAACCTTTTAGAAAAGGCAAAAAAGGTCACTGTAAAAAAAGGATTCTCCCTATTTAAATTGCCTATTTAAATAAAAAATAGATAAATAAATAAATAAAATTAAAGTAAAAGTTATTAGACTTATCAATTTCATAATGTACAAAACAAGATTTATTTGCAAACTACAATGAAACTTAGGGATCTATTAATTATTCTCTTTAATTAGTATTGATTTGAATGCATATAGGATTAGGGCTAAGATTAAGTTCACATTCACTCTAAAATTCACTAGAAGCTTTTATTTCTTCTTGAGGCTATTAGGTTAAACATACCATATCCAGTAGGGGTCATGGCCTGATGCCAATAACTTCATAAGAGTTTTACTTACTTCGATGATATCACTGATTAAATAAATACATTATTCCCATTAAAATTAGCATTCACTATAACTATATATTCCTGCAAAAATGTGTTTACTTCCATTAAAGGATCAAAAAAGAAAACTATAAAGCCTTTCACATGGACCTTTGTACAAATATCAGAATTCTTGTTTTTATTTACCTATTTATTAGATGTTTTTATCTATTTTAACTATTTTTATGAATGATGCAAGCATACCTAATACTACTTCCTTATTTTTTAGCCACTATAGAAAGGTAAAATGCCATTATTCTAATTATTAATAATTTGATAAAAAAGAATTAAATGAAAATGTATCTATTCATTAGAAATTCTGCTTTTCCAGAATTCTGCTTTAGAACATAGCTCCGTATTGAATCAACTGAGTAGGCTAATTCTCTTTAAAAGTGTTCTCAATCCTTCCTTGAAATCTTTGTTTCTCAGTGAATATATGATTGGATTAGCAACAGGAGTTATCACTGAATAAAGAAGCGAAATTTGTTTGTCTTGGTCTAGAGAGTAGGCTGAAGAGGGCCTGATATAAGTATAGATTACAGAGGAGTAAAAAATACTAACTATAATAAAATGTGAGGAGCAGGTAGAAAATGCTTTTTTCTTCCCTTCAGTGGAACGTATTCTGAAGATAGCTCTTATTATAAAAAAATATGATGTTAGAGTCAATCCACAACAACCAATCCCAAATATAACATCTGACAAAGATAACACAAATTCATTTATAGTTATATCTGAGCATGAGAGGTGCAGCAATGGAGGTATGTCACAGAAGAAATGATTGATAATATTGGAGTTACAAAAAAACAACTGCAACATAAGTCCAGAATGTGTAGAGGAATTGACCAATCCTACAACCCACACTCCAATAACTATGGAAGCACATACCTGCTTCCTCATGATCATAGTGTACTGCAAAGGGTGACAGATAGCTGCATAGCGATCAAAAGCCATAAAGGAGAGAAGTAAAAGTTCTGTTCCCAAAGCCCATATAAACAGATAGCTCTGTGCAATGCATCCATAAAATGAAATGGTCTTTCTTCCAGTCCAAAGACTATAGAGCAATTTAGGAGTAGTAACTGAAATAGAGATTACATTCACTAAGGACAAATTGACAATGAAGAAGTACATGGGTGTGTGGAGTTTCCTGAAAGTCCATATGGTCAGGATAAGAATGAAGTTGGCAATGAGGGCTGTAGCATAGATGAATATGAATACCCAGAAGAGGGGTTTTTGTATTTCAGTTGTTGCAGATAGCCCAACCAGGATAAACTCCAATATGGCACTCTTGTTCTTTATTTCAATATTATTGTAGCTGCTATCCTAAAGAGACACATGTTTTA